AGTGACTTTTTGTTATAGATACCAATAGATTAGTGCATCTCTCAACCCTCAGCAGAGAAGCTTCTTTTTGTGATTAACTCAGAGACCCACATCTGGTCAATGTAAAGAGTGCTCAGACCTAAATGAGACATCTCTCATGGGTATGACACCCTCTTTCCCCAAGGCTCAGGGATCATTGTGGAAGAGGGTGGTCAAAAGACTGTAAGAGCCAGAGGTGGTGGATGACCACAAAAAAAAACCAGTGTTTTCTGAACACAACAGGGCAACTGCACATATGAACTCTCAGAGGTTGTGACAGCATGCACAAGACCTATACAAGCTCAAGCCAGACAAAATCTCAGCATGGAGTGGAGAGGTGGGCACAAAGTCCCAGCCCTAGCTGCAGAACTATTAGCAATTGATAGCTTCTGGGAGAAGGAGAGCCAGTTTTCTTTAGGGCTACGAGCACTGGTAGGTTGATCATACTCTAGGGGATGAACCCACACCAAAGGATATTTGAGCAGCACAAACTAGACTCAGTGGGCCTTAAGGAAAAAAAGAAGACACAAAGTTGGGTGAGTAGGGAGGTGAGGGTGAGGGAAAGGGGTAAATATGATCAAAATACATTGTATGAAATTTTCAAAGAATTAATAAAAATATTTTAAGTGGCAAAGTAGTTTATATTATGACGATTGTGTGATGTTATAGTAGATTTCATTGTATAATGTTATTTCCTTTATTGCTCTAGGCTCTCAGTCACATTAGCATATGAACAGAACAATTTTATATTAGCACAACTGATCAACAGTATTTAACCACCATAATGATGGGTGTATGATGCTCTGATTCTAATACATTCAGGGAAGTACTGAGCTTTTATGAGAATTTATAATGGTATGATAATTTTTGTATAATATTTGGAAACATTAAAAGTTTTCTTTGGGTTCTGTTTGTGTGTGAGTCCTCATTGTCTAGGTTTTTCTTCTTCGTTCTAATAAATCTATTTTGGTCTGCAGTGCTTCCGTTTCAATATGTAAGCGTGAAGTTTTTTTTTCTTCTAGGTTTTAAGTTTTGGGCGTGTTCATTTTAGCTTCCATATCATAGCCAGACATAAGATAAATGAAAATAAGATCCATAAGCATGACATTTATCAGATCATTTCCTTACCTTCTTTATCAACAGTCACAGATTGATCATCAAGGGTGTTTTCTGATGGTGTTCTGTCTTTGTCAGTGACCTCTAAAGAGCTGTCTCTCATGGAGCCTTGAGAAAGTGATGCAGAAAAAGGAGAACACACTTTATTGGCTCAGTTACTCATATTAGGAATGGTCCCATCAATAACACCCACAGTGTGTTTCTTTACCTTCTTCACCAACCATTAACTGTAATTCCTTTGAATTCTTAACCATCTTGTACTCTGGAAAGTCTTCATACTCTTTTTCTGTATAATATTTTTGAAATCCTCTTAAGTTTTTCTCCACTGAAAAATAATGGATTGTAGTTTTTACTTTTAAAGGTTGTTGGGGACAGGGAAGCATGGGTTTATAGGTGATACTTTAATATCATCCTTCCCCCAGGGACTGTCAAGGGAGAAGGGACAGAAAGATTGTCAGATCCAGGAGTCAGGAAGGAGTCGGGAAGGACAGGAGTGAACCGGTGTCTTCTGGACATAACAGGACAGTTGCACTTATGAACTCACAGCAGCTGTGGCTGCCTGCACAAGATCAAGCCAGTCAGCATTCCAGCATGGAGGGGAAGAGGCTCATGATCCCCCACCTCTAACAGAGGAGCTACAGCCAATTGATGGATTTGGCAGGAGGGGGAGTCAGTTTTCTTTAAAGGTGTGGCTCCTGGTTAACCACACTTCAGTGGATTGCCACACATTCAGGAGTATATGGGCAGCACAAATTGTACTTCGTAGGCTATTTTAAAAAAGAGGACAGAAGTTAGGAGGTAGGGAGATGGGGGTGGATCTGGAGGAGTTAAGGGGAGGAGTTGGGGTGAATATAATATATTGTATGAAATTTTCAAAGAATATAAAAATATTTACATTAAAAAGGTGCTGCTTTAAAGCAAGACAGAGTTTGGTTTAAGTTCTGATTATTGTGTAAGGGCTGTGGGCATTTGTGAGCCACTTTATCTGTTTATTTCATTTTTTTTTTTAAAACTAGGCCACATGAGGATCATTAAACCTAAAGTGTTGTGAGCAGTAAATGGTTGGGACACAGGAAGCCTGCTCCATGCTGGTGGCTAGCCTCTGTTTTACTATATATGTTTATATATTTAAAAACCCTCAATATTCTTTCCTGACAAACTTTACTTAAAAACATATTGGGACAAAATTCCAAAATAACCAAATTCCAATGTCTGAAGTGTTAAAGAAGGTTAATGCCATGGTTGGACTTAGAATAATCAGTGAATCTGCAAAAGACTATAAAGGCCTTTACGTTACAGCATACAGGAAAGCATCCTCCATACATTCCAGTAGGAGAAGATAATTTATGAACAGCTTCAAAACCTATGACATCACTGCCACAATTTCATGTGACAGGAATTACTATAGATTATAATAAACATGAAGGGTATTGTTTCCCCAGAAGCTTGACTGGCTTCCTCTTGGGATCTAGGTCTCAGTCCTGTGTGTCCTGTTTAAAGAAGTTACCCTAACTCTGTAACATCCCTGCCCCATCACTGTGTACTCCATTACATGCTATAGGTCTTTCTTTTCTTCTCTGTCATCTGTTGGAAACTTAGACAGTACTTCTCTGGGCCTTAGTTTCTTTATCCACTAAATCCAAGATAAAGGGGCTGGAGAGATGGCCCAGAGGTTAAAAGCCCTGGCTGCTCTTGCAGAAGACCCGGGTTCAATTCCCAGTACCCACATGGCAGCTGACAACCATCTGTGACTCCAGTTCCAGGGGATCTGATGCCCTCTTCTGACCTCTGCAGGCACTGCACAGTATGGGTGCACTTATACACATGCAGGCAATACACTCATACAAATAAGAAAAATAATAAATAAAAAATTTTTTAAGTCCAAGATAAAAAGGTCTACCCAAATAGGCTTCTTATGAAGATTAAGTAGGACAATGTATGCAAGGTGGTTAGTGTAGCTTTATTGTCTAATAAACGCTCAAAAATGTTAGGTATTATTATTTTGTAAGGATAAATACTTTATTAGGAAAAGAATATTTGGAGTTAACAATGCTGAAGGCCACAATAGGTTATTCTATGTAATCATAGGTTCTAGAAAATCCAAATAGTGGTGATTGAATCTAGTCTGAAATTGCTGGACCCAGATCTTTAAAAGCAAAAAAGATTCTACATAGTGTATAGGCAGTGCTGAATCAAGGGTATGCTTGCTGTTAAGAGCCAGGCAGGTGACTCACACATTTAATTCCAGTTTTAAACAGGCTAGAGCAGGAGGACTCAAAGTTCAAGCTCGAGGTCAGCCTGGGCGATATAGTTGTGGTCTCTCTCTCTCTCTCTTTCTCTCTCTCTCTCTCTCTCTCTCTTTCTCTGTCTCTCTCTCTCTCTGTATGTATATATGTATATGTGTGTAAAAGAATGAAAAACAATGACCATGATAATTAGAGATAAAAATTCTACCCAAACCACTATATGAATTTCAAAAGTAGTCATGAAATGAGAATTCTCATTTTTCCTAAAGAAAGGCAGACAAATAAATGAAGATCATTCTGTGTTTATCATAAAACATGATCAACAGTGACACAGAGGAGGCTGACTAGTCAGGAGGCTGGGGCCTTGAAAAGGAAGATTCACATATCCTCTGTGCTTTCACTGGGTGAGTTCTGGAGTCATTTGCCTGCCATCAGTTTTAGTTTTCTTGTCTGTAAAATTAGTGAATTGTGGTACTTGATCACTAAAACTTCCTCCAGTTTCACTGAATTTAGTAGTTTCCAGATAGAAAGGTTTAATTATAATCAATATGCAAGCCTAAAACATCAAACTCCATAAGAATCAGATGATTTCTTATTTTAATTACCTGTGTACATAAAAGTACAAATACTGCTTGGTCTCTACCCAGTAAATAGACCCATAAAGTAAAAATAACAGACAAAAAATTCAAAATTTAGTAGTACCTTTCCTTAAAGTTCTATAAGTGGATTTTTGAGTTATGAATCAATTTCTGATTTATTTATTTATTTATTGAGAGACTCTAAATGTGCAAGTGGCAGATAGCAAGATGACCAAGTACAGATCCTGCCATCAGCTGGCTGAGCTAAGCAGCTCACCAAAACTTACCACACACAGTTTTTTTTTGTTTGTTTATTTGTTTGTTACTCATAAAAGAAAGAGTTTATTTAGCCTACAGTTCCAATGGGGCAAGCGTCCATCATGGTGGGGAAGCATTGTGGCAGAGGTGGTTGGAGTAGCAGAAGCCAAGCTCTCACATCTTCAAGCAGGCACAGAAAACAAGTTACGTGCAATCCTGCAAGGCTTAAGAACTCTTTAAGCCTTCCCCAGTGACAGGCTTCCTTCAGCATGGCCACACCTTCTCAGACCTCCCAAAACAGTGCCACCAACTGGGGACAAAATGTCAAAATACTTGGAACCCATGGGGGACATACTCATTCAAACCACCACATTCCACTCCCCAGCCCCTATAGGCTCATGACCATATAAAATTCAAAAAGCATTTAGTGCAATCTTAAAAGTCCCCATAGTCTTTACCAGTCTCAATACTATTCAAAAGTCCAAAGTCTCTTCTGAAACTCAGGGCAATCTCTTCACTGTAAACCCCTGTAAAATCAAGACAGATTACATACTCCCAGTATACAGTGGAACCGAATACACATTCCCATTCCAAAAGGGAGGAAAAGAGGCTTAGTGAGGAAATATCAGACCAAAACAAGACCGAAAACCAGCAGGGCAAACACCAAATCCAGTAGCTCCATGACAACACACAGCTTTTATAAAACAAATATGGTTCACCTTGTATTTTAGCTTGTAGATCTGCCAGAAGCTTTTCTTTCACAACGTTAATAGCTGCGTTGGTGGCTTCAGCTATGGCATCTTTTACTAGTTTTTCACGAGCTTCATCAAATTTTGGCTGAACAAGTTTTGTATAGTCAATTACCTGAAGAAATATTTGAAAAAATCAATATAAGCATAAGCTACTATGAATATTAAACAGGGCCTATCTATCTATCTATCTATCTATCTATCTATCATCTATCATCTATCTATCATCTATCATCTATCTATCTTGCAAAAAAGGATACTACTTGAGGTATCTTTTAACTATGTGTGGACTTCACTAGATGGATTGTTGGGTTCATTTATTCATAGGAATTCAGCCATACTTTTATATAAAATATTTGTAAATGTTAATTATGTATATATTCAAGTTGTGCATTTATTTTGGCTTAATTAAGACTATATATCATTTGTATAATGTATATACAGTAAAAGGCATTCATTTTAAATAATAAATTTGAGTTTTTACAAACACATACATACAATAACCAAAATCAAAATAGAGAACTTCTACATTAGTCCAAAGATGTTCCCTTTTCCTCTTTTGTAATGAATCCTGTCCCTCCCACTTCTCTGCCCTGAGTTTTCATCCCCAGTCCTTGGCAGTCATTGTGGCACCATTGTGTTTTTTCCAAAATTATACAGAATGCAATCTTTTTTAGGCTTCCTCCCCTTGGAAGAATATTTTTGAGAATCATCAGTGTATCCTTTTCACTGCTGGGAAGTATTGTAGCAGTGAATATATAGACAGAATCCTTTTGTAGACATGTGCTTTCATTACTTTTAGGTAAATCCCTAGGAGAGGAATTACTAGGCTATGTGCTGCTGTTATACTGACTTTATTATTAGCCATCAAGATTAATTCCAAAATGGCTGAACTTATATATCCCTACCAGGAAATATGGAAGTTATATTTTCTCACATTCTCACCAAATAGGCTTTGTGGATCATTTAAATTTTAATTATTCTAGTGAATATGAAGAAATTTCTCACAGTAATTTAAATTTGGATTTTTCCCATCACTGAGAAATTCCAAACTCCTTTAATGTGCTTATTGGTCACTTGTTTATTTTTTCCTTTATAAACATGTGTTCAACTTTTGCTTATTTCAAAGATTAGGTAAGAATTATCTGCCTATTCTGGATATAACTCCTTTGTGAGGTAGATGATGGCTCAGCAGTTAAGAGCACTGGGTTCAGTTCCCAGCACCCATGTGGCAGCTAACAATCATCTGTAACTCCAGCTCCAGGGGATCAGCTGCCCTCTTCTTACCTCCATGGGCACTGCACTTACATACATGTAGGCAATTTATTCATACGCATAAAATAATACATAAAATATTTTAAAAGACAGTATAATTCTTTTACATTTCCCACACAATGACAATAAATGTTCTTCTTTTAGTGGGTGTACAGTATTGTATCATATGAATACACTGTAATTTATTCAATTAAGATACTATTAATATTATATATATTTAGTTGTGGTTTGTGTGTGGTGTATGTGTGTGCACATGCTTGTGTGGGTAAGTGTATCGTGTGTGACTATGTGTGTGGAGGCCAGATGTTGTCGTCAGATGTCTTCCTCTATTGCTTTCCACCTTATTTTTTGAGACAGATTCTCTCACTGACCCTGAAGCTCACCAATTTGGATAGACTGGCAGGCCAGTGAGCTCCAGGTATCTGCCTGTCTCTGCTTCCCCAATACTGAGATTACAGACACTTGCAGCCACACCTGTTTTTTTTTTTCCCCCATGGATGTTGGGGATCTCCATGTTTGTGTGGCAAGTGCTTTACTGAATGAGCCCTCTCCCCAGCTCGTAGATGTTTTAGATACACATTTGGGTATAAACTAGGCTATGATGAATGCTACTATGTGTATATCTTTGATATGATAGCTTCTTTAGGAGAATCAATAAACTAGATTTGACAATGCAAAGGATATGCATGGATTTTAGGCTTCTATACATATTTCCAGTGACTAATGGCTCTATTCTTACCAGCAGTATCTAAGAATGCACTTTTTCCTAATCTAGCTGCACATCAATATTTGGTGTTAGTAGTATTCTTTCTCCCTTTTCTGTTTTTTGTTTGTAGCATGGATTGTTCATAATAATGGATTTCATTATGACTTTTTCACAGCTAGATCAATCACTTTGATCACAATCACCTTTACCCTTTCTTATGCATCTTCCATTCTTGTTGATTCCCTTCCTCTTCCCGGGTAGTCCCCTTTCTACTTTCATGTAAGAAAAATCTTTTAACAATGACATCGACATGATATTAGCATTTTTATGCTTATTAGGGATATAACGTCCTTTTTCTATGCTTAATGACTATTTCTATCTATTATTTTATGAATTGCCTGTCTGCTATTTATTTATTATCTGATGTTTATTTTTTTGTCTTTTTACAGTTTGAAATGATATCCCTTTGCCTGGCACATGTTGTAATGGGCTTTAAATATGTTCACACATTCTTTGATCCCTTCAGAAGGTGTTGCCCCATTTTCTTCTTTAATGTGAGCAGAATTTGCTTTAGATGAATAGAGAAGGACTCCCTGGTAAACTGGTAGATTAGAAGCTGCCTCCATGTGACACAGTGAAGAAGTCAGGGTAAGCAAGAACAGACTGCTCCAAAGAGAAAGAGAAGAAGAGCACTGGGCATTCACAAACTATATTACAACTGAAAAGTGCAGAGAAACAGAAGAGCACACAGGAAGGCACTGTCACAGGACCGTCATCCAAAAGGAGAGTGAGGTGGCCTCAGTGAAAACAGATAGGCAGTCTATCCCTCAGTACAAGCATCTCACAAGCATCAAATCCAATGTCAGCTTTCAGTAAGACAGCGATTCCAATAGACAGGGCAGGTCATTCACATGTCTTGGAGGGCTGTGGCCAGGCACCATCTTGAGAGGGAACCTGTTAATAACTGAGCTACTCTGGTGGTGTCTAAGAACAGGGAAGAAAGCCCGGCATGGTGGTGCATGCCTTTAATTCCAGCAGTTGGGTGGCAGAGGCAGAAGAAGGCAGACTGCTGTGAGATGGAGGCCAGCCTGGTCTCCATAGTGAGTTCAGTTCGGAGCCTGAGTTCAATTTGCTACAGCTCTAGGGTGAGATATAGCTGCAAGAGGTAGTCCCAGAACTCAGCAGGGCCAGATACTGAAAAGCAGGAAAGTACAGATGGAGGGAGGCTCTGCTTGGGTAGTGACATATATAGGGGGAAGGAGTCCGGTGGTTAGGGTTTGACCACATCAACAGAGAATAACTTTGGAGTTTGATGTCCCTGAGCCTGATGTCCATGGATGGATCAACCTCTAGAACCATCTATCTACAGAAAAGCTGATTGTTGAAGAGCCTGAGAACTCTAAGGCTCCAGAGGACTATGTGACAAATGCAGCTGGATCCCTCCAGCATAGTGATTAACATTTAGTGAGGTTTGAAAATATGGAGACAGATCTGACTCTGCATCTCTCATTGCTGTGGCTGTTTCCCCCATTCCCATGTATTTGGGAAGCACTGCCCAGCGAAAACGCTAGCCACCTGGGGTGGGGGAACAAACAGGAGAGTCTCTGGAGGGGGAGATAACCTACTCAGCCCACAGAATGCACACTTGAGTGTGGCCAGCAGAGGCTGGTGGTGCATGACGAAGGTACTGAAGTGAAGACAGCTCTGGTGAACACTGGACACTCACCTAGTCCAGGAGTGTAAGTCATAGGAAAGACATGATTCCAAAATTCAGCTGACCCTTCTCTTGCCATGTATGCCTAGTCAATTCTAATTTATGAGGATCTGCAAAGAAGCACTCCAACATTTCTTTTTTCCTCTTGTGTTCTCCCCACCCCCTTTTACTATACTTTAAAGCATCCTTTACTTCATCTTACGTATGCAAAAAACTTGCTTTATTATTCTCCATTCTTATGATTATCTAATTTTGCTTACCAGTTTGTCATTATTGGAAAATTTTTCTTTTTCTTTTTTTGTCCCTTGTATTACCGCCTCCTTCTTTAAAAAACAACTTTGAGGCCTGTACTAATTTGGTCAGAGGGACATAAAGGACAGTTGTTGCTCCTTGTCTTCCTAGGTCAACTAGTTCCAGGGAACTATGAGCATTTCTCAAAATGTCCTCTAATTGTGGTGAGTCATCTGTCCTCTTGAGCAAGGTGGCTGTGGAGACCCCACCAGGTGGACCTGAACCACTGTCCAGTCAGCAAAGAGGAGGGTCAACCCAGAGGAAACATTTCCTCCATGCTTCCGAGTAAAGCCAGCCATAGTCGAGCATGACCTTTGACTTATTGTCACATAGCCAGAACTGGAAAAAGAAAGGAGCCAGGGGCTTCTCCCAAGTCCATGTTACTCCTGAGGAACAGATCCTCAAAAGACTTTAACAGTAAAAATAAATAGTTATATCTGGGCCAACTGTAGGGTCTTAAACACCCAAAAGGACAGTGTAACCAAAGATTAATGGGTTCAATATAATTTTTAAGAGTCCATATGTATAGCTAAAGGCTGCATAACAAGAAACAAAACCAGAGACAGTGATACCTTCCTTTGAGTTACTGGCCAAGGTGGCACAATAGACTCCCAGACAGTAACTTAGCACAGAACTGGGAAAATGAACAGCAAACCTCAACCTTAATTAAAGGAATATTGACAACTGATTGCTGCTTGATGAGGAATAGCTGATCTTCCTAAAACAGGGATCTCTAGATAGGTGGACTAGATTCAGCAGACAGACAAGCACTGGAGAATGGCTGGGGTGGCGACAACACAGAGGACAGTAACAGGGATGACAGAATATATGGGCTCCAGTATGTGGGAGGGGGGAGGCTATGGGAGGGTGCCATTTGGGAAGTGGGTATATAGATGAATAAGATT